CATATGCTGGGGAGCAAGATCTCAGATACTCTGGAGAACAACAGTTTTGCAGCTTCTTTTATGCATTAGAAATTAAGGAGGGGACATAAGGAAGATTGGAGACAGCGAGGCGGGGATTACAGGATACTTAACAAGGTTATGTGCTCTCTTGAGAGTTAATACCCGCTTCGAGGGGTATTACTTCTGGCATTTCAAAAGTGTGTTAACCTAGATGCCCAAGTGCAATGAACAGCACTGGCTTAAAACCTTTCACTAAAGAAGTTATCCACCTGGGACCTGACTACCCACCATGACCCGTCCAGTCAGGAATCTACGATCAGATCCCTCTGTGAGGTTACTTTTCAAAGACCTTGTTTTCATCCAGAGGCAACCCTGGAGAGAGGCAGGGGCTGCACCCACCCTGTCAGCAGCCTGCCTCTGTGAGTATTGTCCTCTACTTCAATAGAGCAGGCGCTGAATCAACCTCAGGCCATTGTGGTAACTTGGGAGGGGGCAGCTGGTATGGAAGGCAGGGACAGGTCAGGAGGTGAGAAGTCATTCATCCCATCTAGCCACTGGAGATCTGAGAGCTGCAATTCAGCCAGTTGGGCCGCCCAGGCCCAGAGTGTCCAGGAATCAGGGAAAACAAAGAAGTCTCCGGAGACGGGAGGAAGGAGAGGAGGAAGCCCTCGGTGACTTTCCCACCCTCCTCCCTCCACCGTCCTAGGGGAAGAAAGAAAGGCAAAGGGCAGTGAAATCAGGAAGGACCACCTCATCAGTGTAGAAGAGCGAAAAAGCCAGCAGACCCGGCTCGATTCCCAGCACGGTCACCTTCTCCACCTGTGACTTAGAAGGTCCTGTCTTAGCCTCTGAATCTCAGTTTCCTCCTGTGTAAAAATAAAGACAACACTTCCTGTCTTGTGGGGCTCTTGGGAGGATTAAATGAGATACAGTGAAGTACCCGGCCCAACACTTAGGCTGAAGGACCTCAGTGAGCAAGCAGGTTTCCCCTCTCTTTTCTGGGATTGATCTGCCTCAGGTTCCTGAGACTAACAAGGTCCAAAGGAGAAACAAGGTGATGGCCCTCCAGTCCTTCCCAAGAAGCAGGGAACCTCTGCAATCCTGGGAACTGGCTGGTCAGGAGGCGGGGCAGCCTGACCCAAAGCATCATTGTCCCTGCCTCCCCTGCGGACTCCTGGACCCTGGGGGAACCAGCAGCCACCAAACAACACTGCTGACCTCAGAGGTAGGCACTGATAGCTGGGGAAGGGCAATGAGCCATCAGAGGCCCCTGAAATGCTCTCTAGCAGGAAAGTCGGGGGGGGGTGGGTGGCGGGGCGGAGTACTCCAGGGCAAGGCCAGGTGTTCTCTCTTTATCTCTGGCAAATGCGAATCTCACCAAACTTCTGAGTCACTTCCCCACCCCGCATACAGTTTTTATCAAAAAACACAGGAGCTCAGCAGGGAAAGGCTTTACTGTGGTATCAGTCTGAACCAACCCAATCAGGCAGGTAAATCTTCTGAAAAAAATAATAAGACTGATGTTTGGATTCTCAGTGCTATTTCTACCACTCCTACCTGGAAGGGTACAGAGAGAGGCAGAACTCAGCTAAAACAAGGGTGGCTCCAGGCATCCCCTTCAAAGTCAGTGTGCTTTGGGAGAGCTTGGGCCATGGCCAACCTATAACAGTTGTCTAGAGGAAGGGCTTCAGGCTCTGATAAGGTAAAGGAAGGACTGGACCGTGCCTGGGGCCCCCTGACTGTTCCTTCACCCCAGAGACCACAGGGATAATCAGCTGGCAGAGCCTTCTGGCCTCTGGAGTTTACTTCCCACCCTAAGGCCTCTTGAGGAAAGGAAGAGGAGGAGCCAGCACCAGTCTCAGCCCAGAACCAGGCAAGCAGCCAGGGACCAGCCAGCTGGGCCTTGCCTGAGAAGGTTGAGCACCCCACGTCCAAGGCTCCGGCTGCTGCCACTCTCCCCTGTAGAGATTTCCCCAGAGGCAGCCCCTTGCACGCTGCTGCCCTGTCTGTCCTGCTATAGGCCTGTGCCAAAATCCGTATGTTGAAGCCCTAATCCCTATACCTCAGAATGTGACTGTATTTGGAGATATGGCCTTTAATGAAGTGATTAGTTTAAAACGAGGCCCTTAGAGTGGCCCTAATCCAATCCAGCTGGTGTGTTCGTAGGGCGATTTGGACACAAAGAGAGACACCAGGACCTCCTGGGCAGAAGGGCGCCATGTGAAGAGGCAGCAAGAGGGTGGCCATCTGCCAAATCAAGGAGAAAGGCCTCAGAGGAAACCAACCCCGCCCCACCTTGTATCTTGGACTTCCAGCCTCCAGAACTGTGAGAAAAGTAATTCCTGTGGTTTAAGCTACCTGGTCTGTGGTACCCTGTTCCAGCAGGTCTAACAAACCTCCCCTGCTTTGTCTGGGGGACCATGAGGAGGGGTCTGCCACACATTCCCAGCTGATCCTCACAATGGGTTGGTGCTCTGAGAGCCACAGTAACCAGGCAGAACCCCTTCAACTCAGCCGCTCAGCCTCTACAGCCTCCTCCAGTAATCTCCGTCTGCCTGCAAGTTGATCAGTAGGCTAACCAAGGCAGAGCTGTGAGTGTTGCGGACCTGTCCGATGGTGGGGCAAAGCTGTAATGGCCATCGTAATGAGAAGGTATCTTAAGCCTGACAAACAAAGCAGGCAATTCCACAGAATATAACAGAATTTATTATAGGGTAATTTACTTACAGGAATATAGAGTGGAAACAGACAGATGGCCCAGCAGTTCTGCACAAATTTTCCGCTAACACCCGTTACAGTACTTTTTTTAATAGTATAACTCAGGCACTAATGATTGACAAGACAAAGAATGCAGTACACGCTAGGGGTCACACCTCCTAGTGATCTTGTGATAGATTGTTAATGATCAATACTATGACCCGTTCTATGTTTATCTTAGTTGTCATGCCATTCGAGCTCTTACTAACAAAAATATTTCTGGAAATACTTTAAGGAACCTATGCTTTGCTAAGGTCATTAAAGTTGGTCAAAGGTCACAGCGTAGAAACTCTAGGATACAAAAATAGAGTTGGCTTTGTTCGCATCTACCTCTATATAGCCCCTATCTGGAACTGGGGATGCCACAAGATTCCAAGGCAGTGTAGAAGGGATAGGGGAGTCAGGGAGGCCAACAAGAGGCAGAGAAGCATCAAATAGCAGAACCAAAGGGCCTCTGGGCTAAAGATCAAGGTACCTCACCATTCCCCAGCCTCTGCCACAGCATTACTGTAGGCCTGTTTCCCCTTCACATTCAGGCTCCCCCTTTTAGAGCCCAGAGAGAGACCAGAGTCTTAAAGTGTGGATAAATCCATGGGATGGAAAAATACTACTAATCAAAATAACCAACTGTTCCTAAGTGCTAATTATATGGGTCTCTGTTCCAAATGCCTTGCGTGAGTTTTCTTTTAATCCTTACAATAACCCTGAGATAAGTAATATATTAGCTCCATCTGACACATGAGATTAAAACAGAGAAGTTAAGTAGCTTGGTAAAGCCCACACTACTGTTAAGTGGCAGCGCTGGGCTTTGAACCCAAATAGTCTAACTCCAGAACTGAGTTTCTTGGAGGGCCTAAGAGAGGGCTGGGATCTGAGCCCATACAGGCCCCAAAGTATGTCAGCGAGGCAAAAACCAGCCAAGGACAGGCCTTTAGGGACAATAGCAGCTGAACAATCTACCTTGTCATCAATCAACCAAATTATAAACACAGGACTCTATCCGTGGGAAAGACTGTGACCTCTCACCCTCCCACACGTGGGGAAAACAGCTTGGAGAGCATCAAAGGGGCAGAGGTACCTCAAAGGTTTATCTTTGGTCTGTGCATTGGGAAAATGAAACCAGGAAGGGGGCAGGAAAAGCAGGCTGCAGCCTCCATCAGAGGTTTAAGTTATGTGAGCTGCCAGCAGAGGGGCTGTAGCTGTGCCTGCTCTGCGCCTGATGGCCAGCTGGCACTCGAGGGTGTTTCCCTCATCAAGTCAACCGGTCTACAGGCCAGCCGACCTTGGTTTGGTGTGATGACAAGATGCAAATTAGGAAGGGGAGGAGAGCACGGGTGGCTGCAAGCCCAGCTCTGCCAAGAATTCCCTGTGTTATCTTGGGTGAGCCGTTTCCCGCTCTGGGCATCCGATCTCCTTTGTCAGCCTAACGAGAACCAGCACGCTTCTGCCTTCCATTTGAACTCCTTGGGGATGAGGGGCAAATGAGAAGAGGGCTTCATACAAATACAAGAAGTTTTACATCAGCTTCTTGATGAAACGAGGAAAGCAAAGACTGCCACATCTGTTTTTAAAGCATCCTTCCACCTCGCCCTACCAGCCTACCCTACCCTCTCAGGCCTCAGCCAGAGTGAAGATGCTAAGGGAAAAAGGGAGACAAAGCAGAGACACTCCAGAAACAGCAGTCCCTCAGGCTTCCACGTATTCCCACACCTTCCCAGGACTTCCGTATCCCACAGGGTCATCCCGGCGGTCTGCTGAGGCTGAGGATGAGCCCCACCTGGTAAGGGCACCAAATAGTCCCCTGGGCACTGACCCCAGGGCCTTGCCAGGTTCCTTGGACTGTTCCCACCCACCCTGCTGGACTGCTGCAGAGCTTTGATCACTGCTACACGAAGGGTTTCCTGAATGCTTTCCTGAGGACATTGTTCCCCACTACAGAGTCATCAGGGTCAAATTCATCACGAGCTATGCTGGTCCATGTCCTACCCAGTGGGGAAGGCCAGCCCTTGGCCCAAGCCCCGCTTCCCCTGGGAAATGTAAGCCAGCCCTTCTTTTGGGTTTAGCTCTTTACCAGCCTTGGAGAAGGCAAAGCTGTAGCAAAACACTGCTGCCCTGAGCTCGAGGCTGCCCAGCATCTCAAAGCACACACCTGGAAGCCATGTTCCCCATCTTTGAAAGAGGCTTGTCTCTACACTCAGCCCCAGCACCTGCTCCATCCCAGAATCACACTCGGGGGCTTCTTCATTCATTCGACATTTATTAAAAATGATGCTGTGCAAGGCCCTCTGTCAGAGGCGGAGACTTGGTTCCTGCCCTCAAGGAACTCACAGTCTTGTGGGGGAGTGGACACACACCCATCACAGTGCCTTGTAACAAATGCTGCAGCAGCAGAATGAACACAGAGCTAGAACAGCAAGGACTCTGCCCAGGAGAGTGGGTACGAACCTACATTTGCTAAATGTTGTAGTGTAATAGGAGCTCGCCAGGTAACCAGGGAGGCACGAGGCACAGTGCATACGGACGCATCAGGACTCAACGAGCATGACGTGTTCAGGAAATGGGAAAAATTAGGATCTACCCTGGGAGTGACGGGAGGGAGGCTGGGGCAAGGTGTTGCAGGATTTTGCATGGCATGCAAGAGGCTCTGGTGAGAGAGAGGAGCCACAGAGGTCTTTAAGGAGTGATCTCATCAAAGATGTGTTTTAGAAAGAAAATGCTGGCAGAAATGAAGAGAATTTTCAGGAGATCAAAAATTTAGGCAAGAAGCGGGGAGGGGAGTGGTAGACGTGGTAAAGGGGGTCAAATACACGGTGACAGAAAGAAATCTAACTATGAGAGGTGAACACACGGTGTAAATATATATATGCCTTACTGTTAAAGTGTACAGCTGAAACATTGGATTTCGCTAACCAATGTCACCATAAAAAATAAATTAATTAATCTTTTAAAAAATTTAGGCAAGAGTGAACGAAGGCCTGAAGCAGGAAGTAAGATGGAGAACAGAGGAGGAATTCCAGATACAGAAGGAGCAGGTCACCGCAGATTGGTGATGGAACCCATGACGGGGACAGGGAGAGTCAGAAATGACGTGAGCAACAGGATGGAGAAGACGGACTGTATGCCAAATACCATGCTGGGTGTTTTAGGAGAAACCTCTCAATCTTCACAACTCTGTGAGGTAGGCAGAATCACCCCCACTTTACAGATGATGTTTAGAGAAGTTATCTAGCCACACAACTACTTTACAGAGTTAAGCTTCAAACCCAGGTCAACACTTTTAACCATCAGAATATGTGGGAAATCTAGACAGAGGTGTATAGTAAGCTGTTTCAGAGATGCTCTGGAGTTTGAGGGGAAATTCACAACCAGAAATAGATATTTAGGAGTCATCAAGGTAGATATAGGTGGTGGCTGAAGCCACAGACGAGGCTAAAACTATCCAGCAAGAAGAGTCAAGGATGAGCTGGGAGAACACGCACATTTCAGGAGAACGAGGGGAGAGCTGGGACAGGACCCTGCGAAGGTACTGCTATCAAAACAGAATTCCGCAAAGAGTGCAGAACACTGCAAAGAGCTACAGTATGACAAGGACCAAAATGACGACAAGATTTGAAATTATAGACGCTTTTGGCAAAATGACTTCATCACTGCAGTGATGGAGGTGGAGAGCAAGCGGCAAAGGGTGAGGAGGCGTGCGGGGATGGGGCTGGGGAGCTAGGGAGCTTGTTGAAAAAACAAAACACCTGAAGAGTGTACCCAGAAACCATAAGTGGAGAGCACCAGGCAATAGGGTTATACAAATTTCTCCGGCCGCACTTGGCAGCTCAGGCCTAAAAGCGAATAGAAACAGGAAGTGGAGCCAGGATTGGCAGTAAGAGAACCAGGACGGTTGAGAGGGGTATAAAGGCACAAAGGACTTTGTACCCTTCTAGACAGAAAAGCTGTCCCTATGGGGTTGCCAATAAAAATCTTTTAAAACCTCAAATATTTGGGAGACCCATGTGGAATTTTTAAACAAAAAAACAAAGCCAAGGTTTCCCTTTGCATTATGTAAAAAAGGATGTGACAAACAGGTAACTACTGTTAACGAATTTAATTCAAAAAGAACAAACTTTTTAATTACATCAGAGGCACCACTAGAGCTGATACACTAATTACTAGTTACTCCTCTTTAACTCTTAAAGCTAATTCCCCAAAGACTTCTATTTACCAAATACTTTGAGACCGCATACAGAAAAGGAATAAAAGAGCATTTATTTCTATTTCATTATTCAGACTGGCTGCGACCTCAATTCGATAAAAGCAAGGTTTTACTGGGATATAACATAGCACCTGCGTGTTTTCAAAGCACTCTCTAAACTGATTTCTCACTCTTCTTACACCCTTTCTACACCATCAGCAGGGAACACAATATCAGTACCCCCATTTTGCAGGTGGGGACACCGAGGCCAGGTGAGGTGAAGGGGAACGTCTCAGGTCACCCAGTTGTCTTGCCTCCAAGTCCTCTACCCATTCTCCTGATACGTGACTCTCTTGGGCATCCCACGACACCTTCCTCCCCACTTCTCGTCTCTGACCTTGCAGACCGCACCAGTGGAACTATGACTAAGTAACACAGGTCTGAAGCTTACAGTCTCTCAGCCAGCTTGGTTCTTATGCGAGACAGTCCTTCCTATGATCCTGGTGAGGGTCCCTGTGACCATTCTCCTAGCAAAGGCGGCTCTTGCCTCCATCCCCACCTCACCAGGATCACAAGAATACATGCAGCTACTGCAGGAAATGGAGGCATTTCTGGCAATAAAATTAAAGCAGCTAACATTTATTGAGCACCTACTGGCTGCCATGAACTCTGCCAGGAATCTTACATGTTACTTTCTCACAATAACCCAGCAAAAACAGGTACTTATTTCATTTTACACATGAGGATATTGAGGCTCAGAAAGGCTAAGTGACTTGCCAAGGTCATTCAGCTACTTGTTGTGGCAGGATTCATAACTCAAGTCTGTCAGACTCTAGAACCCACTTTACTTTTAGTCTACCACAGTGCCCTGGCTCACCACTCTACGAGTGCCAGGAGACCCATGCCAGAGTGGAAAAGGAAAAGTGAGGCCAGATAGGAGCTTTTTCGTTTTCATTGTCTGGCTCCCAAGTGACTCTGGGGAGACTAATGCACAGTGTTTCACTCAGCCGACAGCCCCACCAGCCTGAGACCCTGGGAAGCTGACAGGAGTCAAAGGGCTCCCTGGCAGGCTTGTACTGGCAGCTGCCCAGCTGATTTGTGCTAACACAGCAACAGGCACAGGAAAGGCTCCAGAGAGAATGGAAAAGCACCAGACACTGCAACACTGGGCTGCTGAGGGAACAGAAGTGATTTCTGCCATGCTCAGGGTAAACCTGCTCTAAAGCCACCAGCATCGTTGGGCTGAGAAGAGACCCAAGGTGGGGTAAACAAAAAGCCTCAAGCACATCCACTAACTGAAGTGCTTCAGTGAATCATGACCATTGGGCCAATCCAAGAGAGGGTCACATGCCGCCAAAGTGAGCGGGCAAACATGGAAGAACACCAGTCCGTGCCCGGCTTCCTGCTTCATCCCAGCAACCCTGGCCTGCCTTTGCCCACATCCACATCAACCCTGCTATTTAATGCCACCTAACAGAGGCAAGAGAGCACACATAATCTTAGAGCACCAAGCAGCAGGTCTCAGCCAGCCCATGGGAAAGAAAGCTAACTAAGAATATTAATAGATTTGCTGGAGGCAGAAATTCAGTGAGGGCAAGCCCTAGGAAATGAAATTGTTTAAAAGGGGGCACAATCAAATCAAGATAGGAAGTGGGGAGCAACTCAGATTCCCAAAGAGAGGCCTTCCTCGGGCAGACACTGGGAGGAGATGCACCAGCAGTGATAGGGTTTTTCTGAAGTAACTGAAAACCCAAAAATGTCTCAGTCTACGGGGACATGTTTTCGGTAGTTTCTGTAGCAAAATTTTCGGTCCTCTAATGTTTTGCTTAGGCTGATGTTACACTACATATGTGCAGGATGCTCAAAAGTGTTTCAAAGGAAACCACTCCTGAGATTTAATATTTGCCACAAACTGTTAGGTTGCCAAAGAAAAATTATTTGCAAATTGGCAGCCACTAGGTCAAATTAACAATTGCTATCAAACATACACTACGGGTATGTTAACATGCTTCGAAGTTTTTTAAAAATTGAATTGTCGACATTTAGAAATCAGATTATACACACACGAAAATCTGAATTTCTAGCATCTTTTAGAAGAAAACCTGAAAAACCTGATACCACTGAGCAAGCAGCACAAACTGGAAGATGCTGAATAGCGACTGCCCCCTGTAGGCAGGCCTGTGCTTTCCAGTGCCGTCCTGGCCGGCTCATTTAAGCCACCTCACTGACCCCTGTAGGCATCTGCAGTTGCTACTCCGAAGCCCAGGGAAGAAATCCCAGGCTTGGTCATGCTCAGCCCTGCCACACGGCAGCAGCACTGGTCTGTCAATGAAGCCTGCCCATCAGCCCGAGCCTGTGACCTAGCGGAGCAATGGCATATCCTTTCAGAAGCAGTGGCAGACACTCCTTCCCCACACTCCCCATCAGATGGCAGACACTCCTTCCCCACACTCCCCATCAGACTTCGTCCCTGAGAAGCAACAGCAGCTCATTTCAACACTCCCAGTGGGTCTCAGCGACCGAGGGAAAGCCACCAACTTGACCTCTCTCTGGCCACTAACTCCCACATCTTCCCAGCTCCTCTCATACCACAGCTACTATCTCTACCTGTTCAGGAATTCTACCTGCACCACCTGTTAACACCATCAGGCCTCAAATCTTCATATGAAGCCGGGCAAACACTCTTCGCCTTTTTAAAGGCAGTTTGTTCTTCATCAAATGAGCATTACTTGCCTTTACTCACTTAGGTTAAGTCGGTCAACCTCATGAAGCAATAGGTGCTTCTGCCTCTTCCTGGCCTCTGCTCTCGCTCCCCTTCCAACCTCACCAGCAGCATCTTAAGTGGTAGCTTTTAGTATAAGCTCCTACAGCCCTTTAGGAAAGACATCTGGTATTATGTGCCAAGACCCCTAAAACTGCTCATCCCATTTCATCCAAAATGCCATTTGCTGTTCTTACCGTTCAGTCCAAAATGCAGGAAAAGCCTTATATAAGGTATCCATTGCACTACTTATACTAGTGAACAATCAGAAACAGCCCAAATGTCCAGCAATAAGGAAATTGTTAAAACAAACTATGCTGTTTCCACCTGATCAATTATGCAGTTATTAAAAACAATTATAATTATGAAGACCATGTGATAAGATGGAAAATATATTAAACATTATGTGAAAAATATAAAATTAAATGTACAATAATGACAACTATCTAAAAAAGCAATGTGAGAATTAGAGAAAGATAACAAAATGTTAACTTTTTAGTTGTACTAGAGCCCTGGGACTGTGCGTGATTTTAAAAATCCCTACCAAATGTTCTTTAATGTATGTGTATTACTTTTATAGGGAAAAGTGTGTGCATGTAATTGGAAAATTTGATAGCAATTGTTAAGAGTCTATTCTAATTTAGACTCTGAAAGGTCCAATATGCCTATGTTATCAGGACAGAAAGGCCCTTGGGAACCTGCACCTCCAGGAGTCACAACCTCCAGGACCCAATGCAACCACACTTGTAAAACAAAGCTTCCAAGGCCCCAGAGGCCTTAGTTAAAGGCCAGTGTTATCCTACGCTATAACACCTGTACTTGCATAACTCCCAAGGAGATCCCAAACACCATCTGGAAGATAGGATTAGATCAATAAGGTTCTCAGATGCCACTTTAATCAAGTTTTACACTATATGGTAACAGGGGTAAAAGATAGTGATTGTTTTTGAGCAAATTCACCTGCCCCAAGGTGAACAGCCTGGGCTTCCAAGAACAAAAAAAAAAAGCTCTCCTTCCCCGAGGAATCCCCTTCCTAAGCTGATAGAACAGGATTTCAGGAAGAGTGAGCACAAAGGACAGGGCAAACTAGTGAAGGGAGACAGGCAGATTTTTGATATCTTCCCATGCGAACAAGAACCAGACATGTGGTATCCCTCCTAAGGCAACATCCCAACCCCAGCCACTTCTGCTTGAGGCCAAATTCTCTCCCTGCAGAGACTAAGAGACAATGTTCATTTCATAACATTCTTCCCAGCAATGCTTCTAAAAGTGCAAAAGCCTGGGCAGTTGTAGCCACCATACGACAGATGCAACCTGTGGGCCAGAACCCTCCAGGGCCCTCCTCTTCACTGGCCCCTCTGCTGCTAGTGCGTCTGCCTGGTCATAGGAGAGCAGCCAGTATGCATGTGGCTGGGTGGTGTTGGAGGGGCCAGAAGCGACAAAACAAATCTGATATGAGTTCTGGAGCTGGGTCAACATGGTGGTGGGACCAGTCACACAGCCTACAGAAGGACCCATATGGCCCTGTGTCCTCCATTAATTCTTCTCCGGGCGGTTTCTGTTCAGGACAGCTTTAGGGGCAAATTCCAGCTTGTCCTTAAGGCTCACCACCTGGGTGTGGTCCTTGCCTAGCAGCTCATCCAACTTGCGGTCCTCCCGGCGCTCAGAGATGCTCTTCTCCTCCTCCATGGGTTGAGGATCCTTTCCCCTGATGAACCATTCCAGGTGGTAGCCTACAGCCCCGACCACGAAGGCCACAGGAAATGTGACATAGGGAGCGTAGGTACGTACCACGGTCCAAAGCACAGGCCACATGACATCTGCAGAGGAGCACAAGGCAGCATTAGGGGAACACCAGCACCTCCTCTCCACCAAATATGGACAACCTACCAGGGCTCTCTGGCACAATTTACTGAGCATCTACCCCATGCAGAGTAACGCAAGAGGGTAGCTTGCTTTATGCAACAGTTGGGTCCCTGAAACAATCTAGGAAATTTCAAAAGATTAAGTAGTTAGGGAAGGGGAAAAGACTCTCCATTTTATGTACTATATTCTATGACAATTATGCAGCTGTGAATGGCAGAGTTTCCCACGAGGGGACCTCCGGGCCTTATGTAATAAAGCTTCAATCCTGTTGTTGACCCCAGGCCCTCCTCCAGTTTGTTAACCTTTCAAGAATGGGAAAGAAGCCTTTCTCTGCTCTACACAATTTTCTCCATGAGCACAGTCACCCTTTCCCCACCACCCACAATCCCACTGCAGGTCTCCTGGCTCCAGGATAATGAGTAATTACTTTGCTTCATGTAAAGCATACATGGGTAACTCCAAACTGTTACCCAG